CAGTAGCCCCCCCCCCCCCCTTTTGTTTGTTTACTTTGGGACTACGGGTTAGATTCTCGGTATATCCCCATGCATATTTATTTTGGGATTACGGGTTAGATTCCTGATAGATCCCCATGCATATTTACTTTATAAATGCGGGTTCGATTCCCGATAGATCCCTCTGCATATTGATAGTTGGACTACGGGACGGTATCCTGGGAGATCTTCGTTGTTGGTACTGATACTGAGTTGTTTACTCTGTGTTACCTTATCTACTGGGTATTGTTTGTTGCCTTATATAACCTGTCTTACTTCATATATGTACTCATTATTTCTATTTATTTCATATTGTTGCAAAATTTTTATTACTATATTTATTCTCAATAAGGCCCTGACCTTTCTCGTCACTACCCGACCGAGGTTAGGTTTGGCACTTACTGAGTACCGTTGTGGTCTACTCATGCCCCTTCTGCGCATGTTTTCCATGTGCAGATCCAGGTACCTCCACCCAGGCGCATGATCCTTGAGACAGGGGGAGCTACGAAGACTTCGAGGTACATCTGTCGCGTCCGCAGGCCGAAAAGTCTCCTTCTTTACTCTATCTTGTAGTGTTTAGCCTTCTATCGTACTTTTGTTGTAGACATTCTGGAGATTTAAGCACTTACTGTATTCTTCTAGCTTGTGTTCCCGTCAGTTTCTGAGTTTTGGGGTGATATTGTAGACTTCCGCATTATTCAATTGCATGTGCCGAGTGGCATCTTACATTCCGCGTTTCATTTTGATGCATTTGGGTTTTGAGTCATAATTTTTCGCAGATAATTTGTTTTGAGTTATAATTTCTGCATTGTTAGTCTTACCTAGTTGTAGGGACTAGGTGCCGTCACGACATGTTCATGGAGGGCGAACTGGGGTCGTGACAAAGACGAATTTGTATTGTATACCCAAATAGTATACAAATATACCATTTTAGTATACAACTCATTCCAACTCTATACCCTATTAGTATAACTATATACTATATAGGTATCATATGCTAGTTGAATCATTTTTTGGTTGTATTAGCTACATTTAATTGGTACAATATTTTATTTTCTTTTAATAATAGTAATATAATACAATATCTTGAAATACCTTATTATATTAATATGTGGTACACTATTTTTTTATTTTTCCCTTTATGCATGGGTGTTATGTAATAGTAGTATAGTCATATAGTTGTCGGAAATTAACTAGTAAAACTGTATACCATATTGGTATAGTTATATGTCATATTGGTGTCATATGGTAGTTTGAACATTATATTGGTTTTTTAGCTGTATTTTAAGTGAATTCTATTATGAAATTATTTATATGAACATGAGTTGCAATGTTAGAATTTTTATGTGCCAATGGACATAAATTATGTGTATTATGTAATAGTTTTTATAGTTATAGGAAATTGTTGGAACGACTCCATACAATTATATACCCTCTTAGCATACGAAATGAGCAAGTTATTTTGCATATATTTAGCTTGCAATACGAGTATATAATTTTCTCATACTTTTATTGCGTCCGTTAATATTTTGGTACAGTAGTATAGTCGCAGATAGTTGTAGCAATATTCTAGAGAAATCATATGCTTTGTTGGTATACATATATACCATATTGGTATCACATGGTACCAGAAGGTTCTTTTTTGCTACTTATACTTTTGTTGAATTTTTCAATATTTTATCATCATTTTTATTCTAACTAGTATATATGGAGATTTGATTGCCGTAGATTATGTTTTCTTGCTCTATAACTGGTTGTATTACTGCTAATGGTAGAGTGTGCACTGATATTTATAGGAAGGAGATCAAGGTTTGCATGGAAATCACGTGTTGATTCTTAGAATCTCATTATGTAATTTATGATGCTCAGCAGCAATCAATGTGATATTCAGTGAATTAGAACAAGTGACAACTAATATGATTTCATTTTAATAATTGAATTTAAAAAATGAGAAAGAAAAAAAACAAAAGGTATATTGTACTAGTTATATTAAAAAAAGGTGAACAAATATTTACTATATCAATTATTTTTCCTATTGTTTAAAAAAATAATAATAATAAAAACGGTAAATGAAATTAGGTTATGAAGAGAAAAAATATTAAAAAAAGAATTTAAATAAAATTAGAAAAGGAAAAAAGAAGAAAACGAGAAAAAAGAAAAGGAGAAAAGAAAAAAGAAGAAGAAGAAAAGAAGCATAGAAATAATAAGAATTGGAGAATAAAAAAAATATTCCCCACAAAAACTACAATGGGTAAAAAATATAATTAGTTTATGGATAGAAAAATAAATGGATAAACAATAATAAATAGTTTTATTTTTGTGGGTAACTGTGTCATCCAAGAGCAAGGTGGGAAGTTCTTGGAGGGAATGATGCCGAAAGTCTATTTGGAAATAGCCTCTCTACCCCATGGTAGAGGTAAGATATGTGTACACACTATCCTCCTCAGACCCGTTAAGTAGAATTATACTGAATTGTTGTTGTTATTGTGTCATTCTCTCCAAAAAGTAGTTAGTCCACACAATTTCTTCCAAAATCTCTGTTTAAGATTTTGAAAATGGGATTTTTACCTACGTATACCATATATGAAACCTTATTACCCTAAATGTGCATAGTTTGTTAATTACCCGCCCAGACCATGTTTTACCTACAAATTTTGTACCATTCGACTATTAGGCATTAAAAGAGCAGAATAATCCCTAAAAGGGCGCTAAAATTAAGGAGAGAATCTTGGTGTTAATTGATTCTACATTAAATTCAATTTTTAAAAAGAGAAAGGAGATTTTTCATCTGCGTATTTTTCTCTAGAACTACAATTCAAATTCTCGAAAAACAAATAACGAACAATTCAAATTTTCGAGTTTCCACAACTTAAATTTGAAAAATATGTTCTTCCATATATTTTCCACCATTGATAGCCATTAAAAAGCTTGAAAGCTTTGAATTCAAATTTGGGTTTTCAAAAATCATTATTTGTTTGGATTGGGTGTTGTTGTAAATAATTCGGAATATGTTTAGGAGTTTATATCTCAATTTTGAGGGGTTTTGGTGAAGATTAGACTTGGTTTTGACTGAATTTCAGATTGAAACTCGAAGAAGAAGAAGGCATATTTCCAGAAATTGTAGATAAATTGTAGTTAAATTGTAGAATTGTAGATATATTGTAGATAAAATATAGATAAATTGTAGATGAATTGTAGATTGGGAAGACTAAAATTTCTATAAATATTCTACAATTATGTCAAAAATGCCAATTATGCTACAATTGAAATGAGAATTTGAATATTAAAATTCAATGTATCTATTTTGTAGATATCTTGTAGATAAATTGTAGATTATTTGTATTCTGATAGTAGATGCAATATTTTATGTTTTTACAAATCCAAAACGACTAAAGCTTCTACAAAATCTTCTGCAAAAAATAGTCTACAACTTATCTACAATTTTTCTAATTTGACTACAAAATATCTACAAATTCCCTCACTCTCTTTCTTTTCCGTCTATTCTACCTCTCCGCCATTTCAATCTCCACCTTTCCATCACCGTTCTCGGCTTGATTAAGAACCCAAGTAATCTCTATATACATGGTCTTAGGCTTTTAACAAACTTGAACAATTCTTTTATGTTGAAGCAGAGAACAATAAAAAACATTATGCAACTGTATAAATAGGGTACTGATGGTTTTCGGTCCAGCAAGAAACTCATTAATAGAAAAAGGCCTATTATCCGATCGAAGTTTCACAGTTGTTTGGAATTGGTCTTAATGTTTAGCCCCATATGAATTTCTCGATTATAGAAAAATTTAATATTTTCTTGTGAATCTGAAAATATGATATTCTTCGACGGTGGTGGGCAGTTGGGGATGATCAACGAGAGGAAGCATAGGAGTATCGTGAATTGTGTGTGTGTTGTGAACAGTTAAGATAAAAGGAAAGAGAAAGTGGGAAGATACAGTCCTATAATTATGCCTAATATAAATGAACCCTTAATTATATCCCTAATTTGAATTATGGTATATAAGTGTTAATTTGGTATGCTTAAATATAATAAATACAAACCTTAAAAATTGAGGGTAATAAGAATTCATATATGGTATAGGTAGGTAAAAATCCCTTTGAAAATTGCCTTCTCATAAAACTGGCCCTGCAGCCCATTAAAATGGGCTTTTCCCTAAGAACGAGTCCCCTCAGGCCCAGTCTAAAAAACAAGCCCAACATTTGTATCTCATTTCCTGGCTTCTCCGACTTACCCAATTTCACCATCTCTTTCAGTCTTAATTCTAAAACTTTAAGTTCAGACTCAATTTTTGTAGCCTCACAAAGAATAATGATTACTATATATCTGATTTTCTGCTCATAATAATTAAAATAAAATTCTGAGGTTGCTTTTGTTAAGTCATACATTTGATTGAACGAAATATTTATGGCTTCAACACTTACCTTTCATTCTACACTTTTTGTTTCTGTGCAATCCCCAAAATGTTTTTACAGTAGAAATCAAATTACACTTGCTGCTCTCAATCCATCACCATTTTTTGCCACAAATTCATTGCTTAAGTTGAAAAAGCAAACAGCTTTATCAACCAAACAATTGAAGAATCTGAGGAGCCACAACAAGTTTCAGGCCACACCCTTAATATTTGCAGCTCAATTCAATTTCTTGAAAGGTACAATCTTTAACTGTTATAGAGAACATTGTGGATTAGCTAAAGTGTTTTGAATTAAGTTCTTGTTGATATTAATCATCTGTATGTGTTTCTTGTATTTATGTTCAGTATTAGGAGGATTCATTAGACTGTTTTTGGGTTTAGAGATATGCTTTGTACATAAGTGGAACTGATGTTAGCTTTTTGTGACCCTTAATGAGTAGACCCATTGTTTAGCTTGGAATTCTCTGATTGTTTTCTCTGTTAGTACTATCTACATTGGTACATCCTGTGGTGAAGCCAAGAACTTCGCTAAGGGTGTACAAGATTTAATATATATGTATAAAAAGCAATAATTTACCTATTATATAGGAGTAGAGGCGGAGCCAGGATTTGAAACTTATGGGTTCGGGATTTTAGTCTTTTTAAGTTACTGGATTCTAAATTAATATTTTGTACATTTTTCATGATTTGTTTTAAAGATAAATACGGAGTTTGGACTAAAGCTACTGAGTCAGCCAAACCCGTAACGTCAACACTAGCTCCGCCCCTGCATAGGAGTACAATTTTTCGGAGAAGGCTATTGAATAGACCACCCTTCGCCGGGTTGTAGTTCCAGTCCTGGTTACATCTTGTTTTAGTATTATATTCATGGATGATTAAAAATATTACTTCAGGGTTTTATTTGATCATGTACTCCTTCTAAAGGTACGACCCAGTATATTACCATTTAGTGGTGTCTGGGGAGGGTAGTGTGTACGCAGCCTTACCCCTACCCTAGGGTAGAGAGGCTGTTTCCAAATAGACCCCCAGNACCTTTTTATGCACTTTGTTTTTGCTTTTGCAAATAATAAAGGTACGACCCAGTATAATACCACTTAGTGGTGTCTGGGGAGGGTAGTATGTACGCAGACCTTACCCCTACCCTGGGGTAGAGAGGCTGTTTCCAAATAGACCCCCGACATCCTTCCCTCCAAGAACTTCCCACCTTTTGCTCTTGGGGAGACTCGAACTCACAACCTCTCGGTTGGAAGTGGGGGTTGGTTACCATCAGACCAAGTCCCTCTTGTCTGAAAAAAATTGTTTCGTAATTAAACATTTAAAAATGCTTTTTGACTCGTCAAACGGTGATATTTCCTTTTTTTGGGTCCTATTGTATTGAGAGTGGCACAGCCTGGTTCTACTATAGGGGTTGCTCCAAATGCAAGACTTAGGAAGACCAGCTTGTTTGGATTAAAAGACAATGTAGGAATCAAGTTTTCAACTTGAAGATTATTTGATAGTACTAGTAGGAACTAGGAAGAAATTGAAGCAGTTCTGGAACAGCGCTTAAGCCATTAGCAACTAGGGAGGTGTGGAGTACTTCCCAGTTTTTCCCTTTGTTTATTGGATGCTATGACATTTTAAATGATGTTATTTATGAAGTTCTCCCAGACCCCACTTTGTGGGACTATACTGGGTAGTTGTTGTTATTTATGAAGTTCTATACCCAAAATTTCAGGAAAATAGCACTTGAGTGTTGCAAAGATATTTTGAAGAGAATTCTTGTTTGTGCTCCATCCAGAAACTAGATAGACAATGTTCTAATGGGGCATGAGTTGTTAGTACTTACATTCTGAAGCAGTTTGAAGTTAATGTTCTTTGCTGCTTCTTGCATTGAGATAAGTACTTATGCTTATGAGGACAAGAAACTTCAATGGCAAAAGAATTTCTTTTGATCTTTAAAAACTATCCTTTGGAAGTGTCAATGTACAGGGTCTTTGCGGGCAATTGTTCTGGAAGTTAGTTCTACCTAAAGAAGGCATTTTTTCCGCATTTGGACTCAAAGAACAAGCCGCTATTTGCATTCTTTATGTCCTATTTTGGGAGAGTAAAATATAAATGTTAGTTGGGAAAATTTTAGTTAGGAAAAGGAGCATTTTTCAGATAGCTTCGTGTAGAACAGGAAGTTTTCCTTTGCCTTATTTTCTTGACATAGACTCTAATTATAATCCAATATGTGCTGAAATTTTAATAGTGCTTCAAACTACATGGAGAGTTGGAAAGGATGGAATTGAAGCTGGAACCAGCATGGTACCTGTAAGTCGAGTTTGTGTCAATTTGTCAGTCACGTTATCAATGATGATACGAGAAGATCATGTTTATCCATTTACCGAATTGCATATACTTCTCTTGTTTGATATCAGGATGCCATTCCAAGACCGATAGCCAGGATTGCTGTGACCGTAGTTTCAGGGGCCCTTGCTCTTTTTGCACTCAAGTCATTCCTGTCGACAGCTTTCTTCGTGTTGGTATGTTTCCAGTGCCTCATCACTGCATGGATTGGGAAACTTAACTCCTACTACTTAGGCATTTAAAGTTAAGAGTTAGGGTCAAAGTGTAATTTTATAAACTTGGAGGTTAAAAAACTTGTTTTTTTTTTGGG